TGTATTGAAATGTTATCCTGACCTTAACTAAATATTTATAGACTATTATCATTATTATTACTCTTATTATTATTATAACTACTTGTACAATGAGTAGCGGAATTTCTACTTTATGCTTGTTGTGTTGCGTGTCGACTAGAGTAAGAGATAAGTGTGTGTTATGTTATTTTAATGATGTGTTTTTCTCACTCGTTATATATGTGATAATGTCCAATAGTTAAAACGAATTGTCCGGATTTCCGATTTGAACATTCGAAAAACAAGAACATACTGTTGTTTTCTTTTCTCTTGTTCAGATAGACATAACTTGGAAAATAAATGAGTCTATACACTAATGACTGTATATTTGCGTATTTGTAAGTATGTACAAACTATTATGGAATGCATATGTTTGTTTTCACAACACAGACTAGTGTTACCTTCTCAATACACTGATATATTCAGATTCACGATAATAGATTGGATTTTTCTCTAAATTACGTTTAGTATCGTAGAGTCTAGTCAAAACAATGAATTTTTCTTGAAAATGAGTAATGTAACCTTTAATATATATATCTACCAAAAATTACATATCGTGTACCTGACAATATCGAAATGTTTTGAATATCAGTATTTCGATGAAATTTAAATAACGATTGATAGTTCACTTTTATGAGAATATCATTTAAATAGTAATAAACAGAAATGAATAGATTCTGTAACATTTTGGAAACTATAATCTTTATATGAAGAATCGGATGAACTTCGGTGTATTGGATGTAAGTTAGCTGAAATCTCCTACTATATAAACTCCGTGATCCACCTAGATTACTCAAGGTCCTTATATGTCGCAAAATTTATTCAGTATTCGATGTAATTCAGAAATATCTAGTGATCCTAAAATTCTTAACTTTCAAAGGATTTTTTCTTATCTAATATTACACAGAAATATAAACATCAGGCTAAAAGTATTCAGGATCAAGGGTGTTTACTCGTGTCCTGTTTATTATAGAGTTGTATTATACGTGTACCATAACTATATTTATCCCATCTCTAGCTATTCATGAAGTTACTCATTGACTGAAATGATACGATGAAAATTTATTGTATGATGCGTTTTCTACTTACTAACAAAAAGTAGTATAAAGTGTTTGCAGAATTTAATAACGTCATGACAAAATGAAATTTTGTCAAAATCTTTACGACAGGTAGACAGAATTCAGTAAAGTTTTCAAATGATAAATTATAATACATATATTAAATCCGTCCAATGCTTAAATCATTTTGATGCAGCATTATATGAATCTGATAGTTTCCAATCATTCTTCCCGTTTTGTATATTTAATACTAGAATCCAGAACTCTCGACCCGTCCTATTTCGAACTCGTTAGTTGGATATGCCTACCTAACAATGGTGTTCAGACTGTGACCCACTTTCATACGTAGCATGAGGAACCATGATATCTCTGAACCTACCAAATAAAACACCATATTCATGGAAGTGAGATAGAATGCAATGAATAGGATATCCCATATTCAGTTATAAATTGAGGACGTGACTGTTGCATCTTCAGTCAAAACCAAAGCCTGAGCAGTTTTCGTGAGTTAATTTCCACATGAGTGAAGTCAGACAGTTAATTACCAAGGTCCTAGAATTTTAATCATTTTATGACTAGAGTGATTGAATTCTTAGAATGTATAGTCCAAGTAAAATTATTAACGAATGTCCGTAAACATAAAAAAATTCACGATAATTTTCCTTCACAAGTTTGTATTATTATTATTGTTAAGTTTGTCTTACATTATTCCTACATTTTCCCTTTCTACTCTTTGTATGTTGTTTTATACTACTTATTTACGTTCAGTAGGCAGCTGTATGCCAAACAATTTTCACACTTATGTTGTATCTCAAGTTGTACTGTAACATTCTGGAATGTTCACCTATATCCTTAACGTTTATTTTACTTATAATTGTATTTACCATTATAATCACTGTAATTTAACTACTGTAACGATTATCCACAGTTTTGTACATTTGTTTGAATGCAACAGTTTCCATATTGTTTTGCTCTTGGTTCGAGTTTCGGTTGTTCATAAACTGTTACCAAATTTAGACACAGCTATCGGCTGTCTTTGGACTATCGAAGCTTTTGCTATTTTTATTCTTGAACGACGCGTTTAAACGCCCAGACACCTCACAAGTTGAGACAAATCGTTGTTTTGGGACTTCGATTTCGCGCGTATCTCAATCGGGGTTACTTCGACGCTTCGATAGAATTAACAGTTCTCAACTTTGGTCTCATTTGGTGTGGATACAGTTCTGAACTCTGGTCCTAATTGGAGGGAATACTTGCTGTAACGAATTTGGTCGGAATCCTGTTTGGTTCATTCATCCCAACGATGACTAGAACGAGAAGAATGAAGTATAACGATGACAGTTCCCAAGACACAGACAATTCCAGTGCTGAAAATATTATTCCTTCAGTTTCTAAGGTGAACTCACCTATTCCTTTAAATCTTGCCTTTGATATTGTTAAACCTAACCCCAAAGACAGTTGCTCGGTAGGAGACAACTATATAGAGACTAGATACAGTGTAGAAGACGAAGTGGACTCTAGGGAAAGGGAAGTAGAAAAGATTGAGCTGGAGATTAGAGAACTCCAACTACGCAAGCGATTGCTAGAACTAACTCCGAACTCTTCAAACAAAGTGAGAAGACCTAGGGAGACTACCGAGTTGTCGGTGTCTCGATCCGAGGATAAAACTTCAGTAGTTACGGCAAGTCACCGATACACCAATGTACTTTTGAGCGATGAAATGCAATTCAAAGCACAGGTAGATAGTGTCAAGGCGCTATGTATGTCAGTAAGCTTACCGAAGATAGAAATCATGAAATTTGACGGGAGCCCTCTGAAATTTTGGACGTTCATGAAGGGATTCAAGGTTAACATAGCTGACAGAGTAAATGATGACACTCAGAAATTAATGTACTTGATACACTATTGCGAAGGTATAGCAAAGGATGCTATAGAACACTGTGTTTTATTACCAGAAAAGGAAGGTTATACTGAGGCAATTAAGCTTCTACATGAACGGTTCGGCAGACCACACGACATCGTAGAAGCCTTCTTAACAGAACTCTTAAGTGGATCACCATTGAATCAAGACGACATAACTGGCCTACAGAAACTGACAAGACTCATGACTAATTGTAAGATAGCCTTGTCACAGATGGGCAGGAATACTGATCTGAATTGTTCGACCAACATAAAACGAATAGTGAAACAGCTACCACGTAGTATGCAGTTTAAATGGGCGGAGGCCGCGGACGATATTTTAAGAAAGGGGCTAGAGCCCAATTTTGATGATTTATTGCAATTCTTAGAAAAGAAGGTGTCAATCGCCACAAACACATACGGACGGTTAGCAAGCGGAAGCTATAAAGCTCAAACGATATCGAACAACCGGTCGGCTTCCATAAGAGCTAAGATCCATACTTCGTTGATTAAAGGGACAGTCCATTGTGTAATTTGCTCCGATGCCCACGAAGTCGCATCCTGCCCTCAGCTGTTGTCAGTGAGTCACAACGAAAAGGTAGAATTGTTAAAGAAGTTTAAACTTTGCTTTAATTGCTTAAAACCCAATCATCGAGTCACAGAATGCAGACAGCCCGTGTTGTGTGAAATTGATGGATGCAAGCGACGCCATCATAGAATTCTTCACAACACAGAACCTGATGTTAAACGAGCATATTGTAACTCTACTCATACTACTAGGACGTATTTAGGCTTTGTTCCAGTCAGACTGCATGGTCCCACAGGTTATGTGGATACCTATGCACTGTTAGATAATGGCTCGGATTCGACATTACTGCTTAGTGACGTAGCAAAGCAGGTAGGAATTTCTGGTGCAGGGACAAGATTAAACATATCTTCAGTAATTGGAGCGTCATCTCAGAACGCTGAACTTACCAATTTCGAAATTGAGTCTTTAGATAAGACCAACCGAATAAAAATCGAAGGTGCATATACTATAGATAACCTACCTATTAAAAGAGCAGAAATCCCACCAACGGACTTCCAAGAAAGATGGAAACACTTGAAAGGTGTACAACTACCCTCCATAGCCTGTGACAAGGTTGGTTTGTTATTTGGTGTTGACGTTCCTGAGGCCCACTGGGTACTCGATCAGCGTATCGGAAAACCTAAACAACCCTATGCTTCACTAACCATGTTAGGGTGGGCTTTATTTGGACCAACGGGTCAACCTAATAAAACTTCAGTCTTCATAAACTGTTTAGAAGCAAAGAGTTCTATCGAGGATGGACCCACGCCGCCCCTTACTTTGACCACAGTAGCGCCTGAAAACTCTTCACATCGTTTGTTGCCGTTCATAGATGATCCTGGTTTATGCCTTAAGCACTCTCCTGATGTGGCACTCTTAGTCGATAATGATGATGTACGCTCACTCTTAGTAGCAGCAGCCGCTGTTGAGACTGAAGATTCCAGGGTTCATCAAGGCTTACCGTCAGTTCGTTCTTCTGGATTTAACACTCCACCTGATTCAAGAAGTAACCGACTTATAGACACCTTTGATTCTGTATCTAAAGCGACAGACGAGAATTTAATGGATTTAGAACAAGTTATTTCATTACCAGCTGTTGACGATGAGTACCTTCTAAAAACTATCAACGATAGTCACGTCGATACAGTAGTGAATATTGACCTTAGATGTATTTCTCCTCCAGACAAAATTCTTCCAACAGATAGCGGCGAGTTAATGTCATCGAAAACATCTGTTATGTTCTCTGCCGAAACAGATCTCCCTAGTGTTTCTGACGTGAACGATAGTGCTAAGTCTGTGATACTACTACACGAGTCATCAATTAGTTGCAAAGCAACAACAACTCAGTTCTCTGCAAATACGAAACTTGTATCTCCTGTAGTGGCGTCTGCTGAAAGTTCTATTGACATCAAGCATGAAACAGAGAATCAGAAAGATGATTGTTTTATTCAGTACGCTGCTGATGATAAGAAGTTTAAGACAACTGTATCCATGTCTCCTTTAGTTGGGTTAGACAAGCAGATACAACATCCATTACCAGACTTTAAGGATAGTAGAGTAGCCAAAGAAATGACTCACCGGAACATAGAATGGCACCATAACACTCCTTACGCAAATCATCATCGAGTATGGGAAAGATTAATAGGAAGCATACGCAGACTTTTGAGCGCAGTATCTATGTCCTACGAGACACTCACCACCTGTTTGACTGAAGCAGAAAGAATACCTAATGATAGACCACTCTTACAGATGCGAACAAAATGGACACAAGGAAGACGAGATTTACAAGTTCTCGGTCCAGTCTTGATTATTGAGGACACTTATGCACGAAATAACTGGTCTAAACGCCTCGTGGTAAGTTTTGACCCAGGAGGAGATGGTCTATGGAACCAAGTGAAGATCAGAACGTGGAAGGGTACAATTATTAGAGATATACGTAAAATTTGTTTATTAGAAGGGGTGGACGACTGAACAGTAGAGGATAGAGAGACCTTTCAGAGTGACTGTGGCTAGAGTAAATTGTACCATTGTCACCTCTGAACGTTTTACGTTAATACCTAATCAGCGAAAGTAAGGAAAGACATGCTGTCTTTGGGGGGCGGTGTTAAGTTTGTCTTACATTATTCCTACATTTTCCCTTTCTACTCTTTGTATGTTGTTTTATACTACTTATTTACGTTCAGTAGGCAGCTGTATGCCAAACAATTTTCACACTTATGTTGTATCTCAAGTTGTACTGTAACATTCTGGAATGTTCACCTATATCCTTAACGTTTATTTTACTTATAATTGTATTTACCATTATAATCACTGTAATTTAACTACTGTAACGATTATCCACAGTTTTGTACATTTGTTTGAATGCAACAGTTTCCATATTGTTTTGCTCTTGGTTCGAGTTTCGGTTGTTCATAAACTGTTACCAAATTTAGACACAGCTATCGGCTGTCTTTGGACTATCGAAGCTTTTGCTATTTTTATTCTTGAACGACGCGTTTAAACGCCCAGACACCTCACAAGTTGAGACAAATCGTTGTTTTGGGACTTCGATTTCGCGCGTATCTCAATCGGGGTTACTTCGACGCTTCGATAGAATTAACAATTATTATTATTATTATTATTATTATTATTATTATTATTATTATTATTATTATTATTATTATTATTATTATTAAGTACGTCCATGGTTGAGGGGTTAATCCTGATGTTGCCTTCAAGTTGCATTTGAATAATAGCTAGACATCAATCAGAAATACTGTCACACATTCGAGATCTAGATTACTGTTACTACTCATTGATTTTACTTGTTGAATAAATTTTCCCTCGTCTAACACTATCTTTTTTTCTAAATTTTGTGCTCACAGTTGTTTAGTGTAATCCATGAATAAGAGCATTGAAATGTTAGCAGGAGCCCTGAAGACTCCAATGGAACTTATCTTTCATATTTCCTTAAATCTGACAGTCGGTTTCCCAATCAACAGAAATATATTTTAATAGTTGGATTCATAAGTCGATGTAAGCTGGATCCCCATTGAAAACCTATGAGCACTGGATGGCCGTTTCGTTCTAGTATGGACTCCTTAGCAGTGCGAACTCATAACCCCGCATGAGGGACCCAAACCCTGGACCTTAGGTTTCGCGCGCGAACACTTAGACTCTAGACCACTGAGCCGGTACCTAATGACGTTAATGTCTATTTTCACTCGATCAATGAATGGTGGCGCAAACATTCATCCATTGTCTGAGGTAGATACCTGTCTCTAGCCGACAAGGATTAGACTCCAGTGGTCACGGCTTTTCGCATACGAGATCGTGGATGAGCACTGCTGAGGAGTCCTATAATAGAACGAAACGGTCGTCCAGTGCTTCCAGGTTTTCAATGGTGGTCTAGCTTACATCGACCCATGGATTCAACTATTAAAATATGTTTCTGTTGTTTGGGAAACCGACTGCCAGATTTAAGGAAATATGAAAGATAAGTTCCATTGGAGTCTTCAGGGCTCCTGTTAACATCTCCACAAACCTCATTCTGATTACAAGCATATTTGTTATACAAAAACATTTGGTAGACCAAATGAATTACTGTGATCCTGTCAAAAATACCTTTTCCTGTACCTCTAGTTACTAACAAAATTACGGTTAATAACGCACAGTATGGGAATAGGAAAAATAGGCCGTGTGAGACAGGAACCCTCATATCTGTTTCATTTCGATACCAAACCTCGATGTACTGAAAATTTCTCTTATATCCTCTGAATATTTTGTAGACGTGTTTGAAGCTATTTCATCTCAATAAACTTTCTTAATCTTTTTTATTTTTATGACCAAGAATGAACAAATGTGTGTGATCCTCCACATCTAAAGTTTGAATAATGTTTAGTGAAGCACTGAAAACAATGTGAAATTTGTCCTATGAGCTACTTCTCCTTATTGATTACTTCACAGATAAAACATTTCCGAAACACAACGGAATATTCAAGTGAAAGCAACATCATACGATTGAATCAAGAAAGTGTGTATTTAAGCTGTATGTAATAAAATTCTTAATACACCAAGTTAGATATTCCGACCACTTGAGTTGTTATGCGATAGGGCTTATCATTTTTCTCGTAACTTTATGCACAAGTAGTTTCTCTGAAGAGATATTTTTGTTCCAAATGAGTGGTCTACTTGCTATTTACTAGTAGTTAAATTCAATCGCTGAATTTACAGTTTGACATTACGAATTAACTTGAGTCAGATGACCACTAAAAACCAGATGACACTGAACAGTTGCTTTTTTGTCTAGTACTTCTCATTTTTCAGCAGATGACTAAATAACGTCCGTCTGATACTCAGAATTGCAAATTTAGTAATTTCCATAACCCTCAATAATACCAAATGCCAATATGAAAAGAGAAGCCACTTTTTATGAACAATTAATTGTTATTACATTTTTTGATTGTAAACAAGTTTCATTGTATGGAAATTCCCCGTATACATGGGATCATCGATTAAAATTTTTGTGTAACTTTTTTATTTAGATAAATCTGAGTCAAACTAGTTGTATTTTGTACTTGTAACAGAAAAATCTTCATCTGAAGAGTATAGGTGAGAAAATGAAGAAGAATAATTTCCAGATTGATGGCAATGGAAGCTGAAATCACGATCTTGAAGTTCCCTTTCATAATCAAAATACAATGTGCTGGAATCGGAACAAGCTGTCTCAAGAAATTTCGCATCATACAGTGGGGTGTCAGTATTTTGTTCAAAGTGTTCATGGAACTCTGTCGACGCCTCGAAATCAGTTGGTTGAAGGTAACTCAATCCATTCTGGGTTATACTTAAACAAATAATGTGAAAAATGCCAGTTAATACAGGTATAAAAGTGAGAGTTCGTAAAGTATTAAACTTTTTATTAAATTATAAATTTCAGGATCTGGCCAATTACTGAAATAATGTTGGCCTGTAAAAATTCATAAATAACATAATCATTTCGTGATGAATATCAAACTATTTGTTTAATCAACTGACAAGGCAATCATACCGAGAATTCCGTTTTTAATAAATATTGAAATAAATTCAAGCTGGTAGTAAATTCAGTAATAGAAAATATGAGGAGAATATGATGTGCTTAAAGTCAACAATAATCGCATGAAACTAAAATAATGACCTAAATTCATGCAAAAAATATGTTAGTGATGCGAATATGAGAGTTTTAAATATAGTGGCAAATATTTTGTGGTACAGACTTTCAGAACAGGTAAAACTGATAAAAGTAAGACATAATGATTAACCATGACAATATAGAAATTCAGAAGTAAAATTTATGGAAAATATCGCAAATTGTATAAGAAGTGAGTCTATTTACAAATTATATAATACATATTTAGTCATTTCTTGCCGGATTTACGATAAGGTTATCTACATTTATATACGGGTAGATATCAGATTCAAGAGTTTCGTGATAAAAAAGTCAACTATAATCTCCATATTTTAATGATAAAAGTTTTAACTTCAAAAATAAATGTCTTTGAATACGTAAATATCCCGAGTTGTTATGAATTTATGGACTGTCAGAGCTGTATTTTCAATATACCAAGTAGACAAAAAATAATGCATGTTCAAATGTGGACATACGGTTTATTATATGTTATATCCGTACGAAATGAATGTTCAGCTGTTTCTGATATGAATTAGTCTCTCGTGTGCATAGAGATTTCGCTAAGATAAAAATAATGTTTTACTAACCATGTTGTTTTATGACAGAGTACCAGCTTAATTAGTCACAATATTCGGACAGAATTCAGTTGATGGTCGTGATTGAGTGACCCTCAAGCAAGATCATAGCTGTATATATCATAATCCAAGAACAACAGACATAGTATAGCAAATCGTTTAAATGACTGACTGACTCAACATGGTAGTACATTGAATTTGTTTTAAAATGAGCTTTATTACTAATAAATGCATCCTTATTCCATGGTCACTTACTGTTTTAAAAATACTTGCCATCTAATCTGAATATCATAAAAAACTATCATATTTCCTGAATTTATTATTTGAACATATAAACATTGGCACAAGTTGGAACCAAATACATACATACCACATAATAGAAATGAGGTTATAAAGAGGTAAAGAAAGGAAGATGAGTATAATAAAAAGGACAAAAATGAATAGGAATTAGTGTGTGAGAGTGAAGTGATATTCAGCCAGTCAGTAACAACGTAGAACTTCGTACTTACGTACATCAGTTCGAGTTGCCATACCACATTAGCACAGAAATACAATTGTCAATTCAAATCCCGTAGTGGTAAAGGTAGTAAGAGTATAAGCAGTAATCGGAAAGATTAGGGTTTGAAGATGTCATTCAAAGAGTATAGTCCAGTGAAAGAAATTTGGGAAGAGGAAAAAAGGGACATGAAGAATTCAGAAAATTAGAATTTGGGAGAACACAAAGAGTGGATGCACCTGCGCCATTGCAAACGATTTTGAGCCATGTCATTCAAAGTCTCTAACTATCGGTTGCTATCGTCTCGCGGATCCCAACCAGGTAGTCTACACCTACCAACATGGCTCAGTTCACTTGTCAGCAACTTCATGGATTTGTGCCATGTTTTGGTTTGGCCGCGTCTAGTTTTCTTCCATCCCACTTCTACACCATGAAACATGGCACGTCGGGGTAGTCGATGGTTAGGCATACGTAACACGTGTCCCAGCCATCCCAACTGATGAAGTTTCACTGCCTCATCAATTGCTTTGCCATCATTACCTAGTACCTGTTTCCTAACAACTGAATTACTTACTCGGTGGTCCCAGGATATACGATCAATGCTTCGAAGACATCTGTGAACGAATACTAGTAACCTACGAATATCTTCTACTCTTATCGGCCATATTTCGCAGCCATAAAGTAGAACGGAACGAACTGCTGTGCAGTAAACCCATCCTTTGGTTGTTAGACGGATATCTCACCTACGCCATAAATGACGCAAGCTAGTTGAGCCCTCTATATCTGTGCTGAGATTTCGTCACACACCAGACCACAAGGGCTGATGAGACTTTCAAGATAAGTGGAGCAGTCGACACGCTCAACTACTTCACTCCCTATCATCAGTTCGGGTGTCAATGCAACCCAATCCTGAAGCAAAATTCCACATTTCGAGGGGGAGAATCGCATGCCGAACATGCTTGCATTGTTGCTTAGAGTGGTCAGAAGACTCTGCATTTTGTCAGCGTCTTCACCAAAAAGAACTATGTCATCGGCATATTCCAAGTCAACAAGTGAATCTCCCGGTAGAAGTTCAACCCCTAGAAAGTCAGATGAGCAAAGTGTTATATCTAAAAGCACAGCAACGACAAAGTTAAGCAAGAATGGAGAGAGTGGACAGCCCTGACGGACACCACTTGAGGTAATCAATTCTGATGACAGTTCGCCATAAGCTCTCACTCTACCAGTTGTGTTCGAGTAGAGAGCCTTTATAAGGTTAATGTACTTCTTTGGTACTCCTTTCAGTGACAAACACTGCCACAGAACCTCACGATCAACAGAGTCGAATGCTGCTTTAAGGTAGAAAAATACTACCATTGTGGGGCTTCTGAATGTGTGTCTGTGTTCTAGAACCTGACGTAGTGTGAATATCTGGTCTATACAACCACGTCCAGGTCGAAAACCAGCCTGATTTTCTCTAGTCTGTTCTTCACGAGCTTTGGTTAGGCGTCGAAGTATTATTGAAGCTAATATTTTAGACACTATATTTGTCAAACTGATTCCTCTGTGATTGTCACAAGAGGACTTTTGTCCTTTCTTATAGACTGGCACAATCAGTGATTGAGACCAGTCAGATGGGATTACGTCCAGTTCCCAAATTCTACCTAAGACCTTAGTTAATCTCGCTTCTAATACTGAACCACCATCCTTAAAAATCTCAGGGGTAAACCTGTCAGGGCCTGCTGTTCTCCCTCGTATCAGATTCCCGATAGCTTTTTCAACTTTGTAAAGAGTCGGAAGACTTGCCATTCAGGTTGACTGAAGATCGTGGGAAACCAAAGTGTGGCTGAAGGCCAGTTGAACTGATCCCTAATGTGTTCTGCCCATCGATCCAATCTCCTGGATTGAGAATGTATAATATGTCCATCTTTCTCTGAGATTGTTTCGCTAACGGTCGGGTTCCTAATACCGGTTTCCTTAACGAGTCTGAACAATTGTCTGCTACTACCTATTGCCGCTGCCTTTTCTATCTCTCTTGCTTTCGCCGCCCACCACTGTTCGCGATCATTGCGTAGGCTTCTTGTCAGCTTGCGTTTAAGCTGAATCCGCTCTTCGTTATGTTCAGAGCCAGATGGAATGAGTTTCCGAGCATCTATCAGTGAGATCGATGCTGCTGAGATCCAGTGTTGCTCCCTAACCTTCTGGTTTACCTTACTAGCAGATATCACTGCTGTTTCCACAGCTTTTCTGATATCATTCCATGCTGCATCGGGGTGGGCATCACATACATGGCTGCCTAACTGTTTTCCTAGTTGTTCCTGAAATATACTCTTAGCTTGACTGTCATTAAGTAGGACCCTAAGAGGCTTCCTTGCAGCGTCTTTCCTACATCCAGTAAGACGCAGGCAAATACGCGCTCGCACTAGAGCACGATCTGAGTCTAAGCATGTGCTCCAGAATGAGCGACAGTCTTCTATCGAGCCCCTCCATCGGTGGCTGATAGCTATGTGATCTATTTGGGTCCAACGTTGGGACGAATTAGGGGGTCGCCATGTCAAAAGATGTCTGGCATGGTAGAACCTACAGGAACATATGTTCCAGCTAATATAGCTCGGTCGGGTCATCACGATAGGCAAGCCCGACCACTGCGTCAAGGTAGCAGCTACGGTCGGGGAAGTGATATTAATAAAATAATAATAATAGTAATAATAATAATAATGAAAGAAGCAATTCAGTTAAGAAAAATACGATTAGATAGGATTCTTTCTGCTAAAGAGGTTACTCTTACTTCTATGAAGAAAGTAAACGAAAGTTATATATATATATATATATATATATATATATATATATATATATATATATATATATATATATATATATATATATATATATATATATATATCACTGATTCCCTTGGAATTTTGGTGACAGGGACTGGAATTGTTTTTATTTTAGCTATCAAATAAGTCATAATCTGATATTCCCTAAACACATAATTAAAAGATTCCAATGTACATAAACAACATCTGATGTAATTCTTAGAGCATTTTCCAGTATGAGTCCCATAATGTAATAAATAAAAGGAGGGTGAATTTAAGTCACTAACCCAATTCAGATTCAAGTACTAATTTTTAAATACACAACTATGAGGTATAAAATTATCTGTCTATCGGCTTACAGATCATAATATGAAATTTTTTTCTTCTGAAGACCATATTCAAATTTTATAGGAACAGATTGCACCAAATTAATTAGTTAACAATGATCATCGATCGTATTTTATTCGCTTCAAATTACATTGTAAAGTCACACTCAAATTATTCGTTAGAAAAATAATTCAAAAACTTAGTCACTTCTTCGATTTACAAACTGTAATGTATAGCTAATGAAAAATTGCAATAGAAAAATCGAAAATGTCCTCTCATGTTATTTTAGGATATTTTCTTAAAAGAAATGGGTAACAACTATTTAGAAGAAATTAAACCTCTATCTAGAAAATTATTAAACAGTAAATTCTCTGGTAAACAGTTATTTCAATTATTAATTAATTAATAAGTCGATTACATATGCCAGAATTGGACATAAATATCCAAGAGTAAACTTGCTCTGACTGCCTACGCACATTAACCATTTCAGGCAAACTTGTATTTCAGTGGTCCGGGATCTGATCCCAATTAGATTGTATGAATGACTGTTGTCAAAATATACATATAGCCAATCCTCGTATAAAATTATCGACTTAACTCGCGTTGGTGAATAGCAGAATTAAATGAGTCAAATAAAAGAATGGATGTTTAAATACGGAACAGACAATCAGGGAATCGCAGCGAATAAAGCGAAGAAGAGAAAGCGGAGCGAGACGAAAGGACGTTCAGTGGAGAAAGCGTGTAAGCCAACTCGATTTAATCAAGAGTTAATCAGTATTTATAGCCAGATAAAAGCAGGTTACAGACATGTGATGAGTAGGATAAGTGCATACACATACGCTTACATAAAATCAGTCAGGGTTGATAAGTGAACAATTGACAAAGTCAAAGCGTGACTCAAGAAGAATGGATAACTTGACTTATCCACAAGCTAGAATAAGTTATATGAGCTTAACGTGGTAACCGACACTACAGTATACTTAGATCGGTCCTAGAGAACTAAATCAAGCTTCTTAAACGGTTGGATACCACTTACGTCGACTGGTCAAGTCAGAAAGATCTAATTTTGTATGACCGTATGTTGGGCATTTGACATTATAAGACTAATATATATTTTGCCCTTAAATCCGTTTGATGATTAATATCCAATCTGTAAATAGTACTAATGTTCCAGGGAAAAAAACTGAGTCCTAATTCTGTTTAGATAATTTTTTTGGAAGTGTTTTCTCATCGACAATTTCAGTGTAACTAGAAATTCTAAATAAGAATTATAGGTGTGTTTCACCACGAAAAATAAAATGCTTCTTTTACAGTCAAAATAATCAGATTTCTTGTAAAATGATAAATATCGTGAAATCATTATTATTCTTTCAATTATGAATAAATGTTTGATTATATTGACAATCACAAATGAAAATGTAAACACTAAAAATTAAACAACAACAACAACAACCTTGAAAATGACAGTTTGTTCACTGTGTGTAAAACAATCTGATACTTCAATTTAAGTACCGTATTTATTTATCCATCAACTATTATAAATAATTTAAATCCTTTAGCCCTGTTTAGACTGAAAACTATTTTTGATCTCATTGTTTATATATATATATAGTGTATAAGTGGTCTAGTAGTTAAAACGCTTAATTTTCAATCACTGAACTGAAGATTTGAATATCTATTTCCCGACTACTTTAGGTAATCAATTAGTGTCCTTAGCTATCATATGGTGTGATTCAAAGCCAAGTACACTAACTTGTACTTGATTAATGAGTTATATAATTACTAAAAATAAATGAGACTTATCATCTACAATGGAGTTTACGGTTGCAAAGTATTACTTGAAAACCAAATAAGTTGTGAAACTGTTCAACAGTGATTTAAAAGAATAATTTGATACCGAAGAATGACATTTACGTCCGGATGCTGAAGATTATTTGCTATGTTGTTTTCAAATTTCTTAACAATTTATGGTCAGATTGTATCACTCACATACTTAAGTCAACTTTGAGTACCTTCAGATCATTCCATGAGTGAGTACAAAACTTTCACTGTTTTGTCATTTGTGAATAGTTAAGTCTATATACACTGAGAAACATTTTTCAGCTTTAAATCAACGATAAGATTATTCTCAGTCATATTATGCTTGTCATAATATATCAGCAGAAAAAAGGTAGTAGTTCAAACGAATTTGTGTTTTAAATGATAATTTTAGTTCTACTCTCCATTTAACTGATGACGTTTTCGGATCTGTAAAGTGATTTATTTATTTATCACAATTTAACTTGTACAGATAAGTTAACAGTGGTAGCCTAACATTTCCAATACTTAACTAAAATAAGCAGATGATAAATGTAACAGAAGTGAATTTTGTAAATGCAATAGAACACCATCTAGCTTCAGTAAAAACTAAAGAATTTTTTCCAGTTTAATATCAATAATACACTAATGCAGCGGTTGTATCGGTTAATCTAAGATGAAATTATGTACATCATTACTATGACATATCAAATCTACTTAAGAATTTCAGTTTAAACTACCAAAAACTGAGCACATCATTAATGTTAAAAAGAATGGATTTACCCTGCAGGCAATATTGTTTATAGAAACTTTAATATAAATCTTTCTTCTCTCCAAGACTGTTGCCTGAGTTGGAGATTCACTTAGCCTTCGGAACCAAAAGTCACTGATGGTGTTTTGTATTCATTTGAAAATCATCTATACTAGGCACATTTAACTCCAACCTTTAAAATACAGTTGCCACAATTTTACAAATCGCATCACTCTTAAATCAGAAGGACTAGGACTAATGGGTTGTTATTCTATTGGCATATGGAGTTAACTAACTGACGACTGAAGACTGATAGTTACTGTCTAAAGGATAATCAAAATATCACAAGCCTACTGGAGTCCACAAATATTAAACAGTATTCTGTAATTGATCTCCTCATCAATTAAGTGAGCCCTGATACTATGGAATCAGGTTTAATATAGATGAATGCGATAACTTCCTTGGGGAGACAAAAACTGGGATAATACACCTACCATAAAGCCCAATTTTCCTCTTAGTAACATTATCATGGGGTAATAAGAACAAATTATGTCCCTTAAGCTGGAGTTTAAAGAAAAAAACTGTACTTACCATCTACTTTTAAAGTTATTAAGAGTTTTATCACGTTGTCTTCTATTCTTAAACCAATTTGATACTTGTGTTATAGTAAGACCACTGTTCTTAGCCATGAAATGTTTTTCCACAATAGACGGATATGGATTGTGCGCAAACTGTTCAGCTAAATAATTTCTTGATTTATCTTTAAAATAATACGTCACCTCATCTCCATCCCATATTGTGTTCGGTGGTGGGAATTTCTTACGTATACGATATTTGGCTACAGCGTTCAACTGATGACCACGTGATATCTCTATTTGTGCATATTGAGCTTGATACCATAAATTTTGCATTTCATTATGATTATAAACACTAAATGGAAAATTGTTTAAAATTTTGAATAATTCGGTAAATTCTTTATTGACAAATAAAACTAAGGCTCTGCATTTCACAATGACTTCATTGTTATGATACATTGTAGTCGTTGATATTTTCGAAAGAAATGTCTTCAACCGATCAGTTTCCTGGGTATTATAGAGTACTTGACAAATACACTCAGTCTGATTTAAATTAAAGTTCATTGGCATATCTGTTGTGTCTTCATTTACATTGATATAGAGTGATGGCGTATTTAATGTCATTTGAGACTGAGAAGTAACTTTCAGCTCAAGATTATTTTGTAAGGTTGGTTTGCATTCAAGGTTGTCATTAATACTTATTTGTGAACTGTTAAAAATCCCATTCTCTAGATTCATTTCATTTGGCTTTATAATCAATCAGATAACCTGAAACTTATGTAATAACCACAAATTAACTTTCCTAATGAGGATTCTATTACGTTTTGTGCTAACATTTGAAGGTGCTTTAATACTCGTACTTTGGATTGGTCAACTAGGTAAAATCTCTCTTCCCATTGGTTGAGGCTCACAAACTGCAATACGGTTATTATCATTTAGGTCAGTGAAATAATTCAGAGGTGCAAAACATCAATATCAAATTACCACAAAAATTTTCATCAATGTATCTAAAAAATTTCGATCATGAGTCAGAACTTAATTTTATGAAATTGATCAATGATTTTTGGCTACTTTCTGTTTTGTAATTATAAAGCACACAATCTAATGGCATATATATACATAATATATATATATATATATATATATATATATATATATATATATATATATATATATATATGTATATATATATATATATATATATATATATATATATATATATATATATATATATATATATATATATATGATTTGTTCATAGATCTAAAGGTCATTCTGCTTTTCATTTTGAAGTTGATGATACTAATGTTATGGGAACTAAAGTGCATGTAGATAATTTTTTATCACACAAATTTATTATCACATAATCATACATTATTTGAAGCCTTAACACATGCATGAAATGGAATTACTCTATTAAAGGTGTTTAGTTATATAAAAATACAATAGTATAGATGAGGAAATAATGTAACTAAATGTAATAATATGCGATAAATTTGTAAGATCATATGAAATACATTTCATACAATTATAATATTTCTCTTGATGGACTTATTTAATTTACACTCGAATAAATGAAATAGTATGAATCGAAATACTTACTAGTATAGATCAAGATTTCTCACTTATCCATCAAATTAGGAGGAAACCGACAAACATTACAAGGCATTCTATCATCATTTGATCTAGAAAAGTGGTAAGGTTTTAAATCAGAAAAAACAAACAAAATTTTTTATTTCGAAATCTCGATTCTTTATGTATGACTTTAACCAAAATATCATGATCGGAACAAAAAAGATCTTAGAATTTGTTAATCACTGGTTTTGAATGTAACAAAAAATTAAAACACTCATCTCTGACAGTAGGTAAAAAATAATTACAGAGTCTACCGGTATAATAAATAATTTTAAATTAAACTACCATAATGATGCTTATTGTCATGGAATAAAGAGAAATTATTCTAGAAGATAAACAATTTTCTCATGAATCTCTGTGTATTAAAACGTTAAATATAATTATTTACAGTATTATAATTCAGTATATGAACTTTCGCAATATCAAACTACATATTTCTGACAAATGAACCAGTAGCTTAATTTAGGATCTATTTTCAGTAAGACATATATCTTAGTCTAACTAAGTACATTAATTAGATGTTGATAAATTGTTTAAAGTTTAATTTTTATTAAAAATTCATTCATTACGACAAACCATTTACAATTGGGAATTAAATTCATTTTTATATCTCACAGATTGAAATCATGAGTCAATTGAAACTAGACCACCATGGAAAACCTGGAAGCACTAGACGGCCGTTTCATCTTAGTATGGGACTCCTCAGCAGTGTGCACCCATTTTTATATATTCTGCATTAATAACAAATTAGTAGAATCTTATTTAGTTTAAGTCTTATCAAGCTTGACCATTGTAAGTTTCTGAAATTTTTCTATAAACTTATTTTCGTTTACAATAAAATCTGATACTAGAATCGGTAAAATAGTTTTCTTCTTTTTCTTTTCAAATTTCAATTTAACATTTTTACGAATGAAAATTAGTGATTGCAAAATATGTGACAAATAAATACTGCATAGTTATTCATATGTAATGCAAATTAAACGATCACTTTTTATTCATATCTGATTACAACAAGATATCGATTATTCGTAAATGAAGATTTACACCTAAAAGTATGTTAAAAAAGATATTGTAGACCTATATATATATATATATATATATATATATATATATATATATATATATATATATATATATATATATATATATATATATATATATATATATATATATATATATTGCGAGCAAATACATCTACTGACAGATTTATATTATCTATAATATATCTGTGTTTAAATAATGAAAATTCCAGTGATTCGATTATACTAATTATTAGTTAATTTACGTTTGTTCAGACAAAATAATCATACTTTTAATTGTTTCATGATCCCCATCATATTAAAAGTCTAATTTTTGAATAAAGAATATTCTTTTCGACAAATTCTCTTCAGGTTCTACAATTCATATATTTAAGTTATTAATACAAAAAATGACCAAGGTAGGCACAAATTGAATCGTTTAAAGTTAAAGCATATAAATTTAGGATTTTCAACTAAAATAGAATAAAATTGTTCATGTTGATATGACTCATATAGAATGTTAACTTGAATCAGCATATATGTTAAGTGAAAGTTTAAGATTCATGATCCGAATAAATATGGGTCAGATAGGATTAGAGAAATAATGCAGAACCTAAAGAAAATCTATTGAATAGAATATTCTTCGTTCAAATATTAATTATACTTTTTGTTTTAAAAAAAAATTAAATAAAACCATGGTATGAATGTAACTAATATGAATAGTGATTTATAGGTGACTAGTGAATATTCACACGATAATAAACGTCTGAAAATAATTCATAAATTATCAGACAAACATTTTTTGACACATGATGTTCCATGGTGGTCTAGCTTCAATTGACTCACGATCTCAACCAATGAAATATGATGTTTTTGTTGTAATTATGTCAAGTTGGTTGACCTTATGAAATAAGTCAGATTAAAGAATAAAAGCACAAAACGAGTCGTTAAACTAATGTTTGAACGTTATAATTATGTTAAAGATTATAATATGTATAAAGGCAGCTAAAAAGAATGAAAACCTGATAGTACTTTATGAATTCTGTAGTTTCACCTTGCTAATATTTTCATGATTGAACTGATCAACAGGAATAAAACTATATGCAGAAGTAAGAATATACATTTCATTAGATACTAATTTATTCAATCTTTAAATCATAAACAAATTCACGTCATAAACCACTATACTAACAAAGTTTAAATAGCAGTGAAAAACACTAACATGATGGAATGCAGAAAAACTAAACTGATAGTTCTTAGATGAAAACGAAAGGCGAGTTCATCATTTCAAAAACAAATTAATGTATCTATACAGTTACGAGTACTAGGTAATATATATTGTCAATATGTTTAATAAAATAATTCAGTACAATTTACTGTTTCTTTTATCGACTTCTTCTCTGATCTTGATATTACTTATCCACAGATTTTCTATAAAAAACACGTTAAGAAAAAAAATCTCTATATAAATGTGTACAAGTTAGTATGGTATGTTATGAATTATATAGATAATGCAAGTGGTAAGAGTCCTAGACAGCACGAAATTATTTTGGCAAAAAAGGTGAAACCACCTACTTTACTGTTAACCAGTGAGAAAGCAAACTATTTTATTAAAGCTACATCCCCTAATAAAGTAGTTTTCCACAATCAATCGGCTTTTATACTTGCTGGGGACATGAATGATTTACCGTTAATGATGAACACTAACTAATTACAGTAAATTACTGGTCAGTTTCACAGTAATAAGGAAAACTTATCAAAGGTAACTATTTTGTTAATGGTCTGTTCTGTTTTACTTCATTTTCAATTAAAATTAGGTACATAAAATAGTAGTGTACCTTATCAAGAGTGGTCGCTATATTCGACACAATGTAAGATTTCTACAATTAGTATAGTTGGTAATGCAATAAAGTAAGTCTACTCGATCCCTCGGAATCTTTACTAAAATGCAACAGGATTTTAAATTTTTGTTGATTTCTAGAGATTCTTAACGAAAAGAGGAAGTCCAGCTTTTAGATATGAGCGAAATTCTTAAATCCTAACGGAGCATAAATGAGTGGTAACTGCCAGAAATTATTTATGGACTATTATTACATATATTCTTATTGGATAACTATTAGGTAACTATATTATATGTATACTAATATTCCTTTTACTATAAGCTTCCATTTGACCTATTGACTACTATTGTAGTGAACGAGAACACGAATGAGGACAATCGAATGTATTTGAACACAAAATTACAGAACATCTTAGTAAAATCTGAGAACCATATAGTAAATACTTAATTTGCAAAATATCAATCAATCGTCTCACACTTCATTGTTCTTTCGTTTCCACACTAATCATTCTTTGTTCTCGTTCTGTTTTCTTTGATCTTCTTAACCTTCTGCCGCCAGACATATTACTTTCTATTGATAATACATACTACTTATATCTATCGATATCAGTAACACACACCACACCAATACACGATTTACTAATCTTACGTTATTCCCAATTTACTAATTACAATATCTCACACTCACAGCCACTTTTGGCCTGATCTTGTTTAATTATTATTTTCTATTTTACGGTATGATGCAGTCTGGTTTGTTTGTATGTAAACATAATCCAAGTGTGTCTGAAATACATGATTCATATAGCATAGGGTGATACTGGTGTTCTGGACTAAACGGACTGGGTTAGGCGAGAAGCTACTATGTCAGAGTTGATTCTAAGCTGCTCGTACTAGTTTATGCGTCATTGGCCTGGTCATATAAGTCGGTGTTTCTAATTGGCCATTTAGTCACGTGATATATTGATAGGCCCTAACAGAAGTATATAAGACACTGAAATATACATTACATTTGCATTAAACCAGATAAACAAATGTCATTATATCAGTGGTTCATCTCGAATGCCAACCTTAGTTCGAGGAGAATAAAACAGAATGGTCAGCAAAATTTAGAACTGTCAAATAATCACTAACCGCTGGAATGAGGCCAAAGGGGCACCATTATGTAAGTCCATACAAGCATAGAGCAAAACTGCTCTCACCGACGCGTTGTAGATCCGGCCTTTTACAGCCAGACTAACATCACGAAGGCGCCAAAGGTGGCCCAGATTGGCATAAGCCGCTCTGGCTTTCACTATTCGTGCATTGATCTCATCACTCACACCCCCACCAGCACTTATGCAGCTACCCAGATACACGAACTTCTCAACTACGTCTATCTGCTCACCATCCAGGGTGAGTACAGGATTGGGATCCTGCCAGTCTTGTAGAAGTACTTTGCACTTCGAAGGTGCAAAGCACATACCATACCTACGGACATTGATTGCCAACTGATTAAGTGCGGATTGCATGCCTTGGGCATTATCGCACAGTAAGACAATATCGTCCGCATACTCAAGGTCGAGAAGTCTTTCTCCAGGCAACAGATCCACACCACCATTACTTACATTCATCAGAGCTGTTTCCAGAATGTCATCGATGGCAAAGTTGAAGAGGAATGGTGAGATTGGGCAACCCTGCCTAACCCCACTGCTCGAATGGAACAATGGAGAGAGGTGGTTGTATGCCCTCACTCTGCCTGAGGTGTTTTTATACAGGGCTTTTAGGATGTTAATAAACTTCTCAGGCACACCCTTCTTCAATAGACAATCCCAGAGAACAGTCCTATCCAACGAATCGAAGGCAGCCCTGATGTCAAGAAACACTACGATTGTTGGCCTTTGAAAAGTATGGCGGTGTTCTAACATTTGGCGGAGGAGCCCATGTGCACCATTGGTTTGGAATCCGGTTAAAGCACCGGACATTCGCTTCTCGTCCTCTCATTTTCGTAAACAACACCCCCGCCACGAGAAGGCAATGAGTAGGACTTCCCTGGCAGAGGCTATATACGCGTGGCCGTGTGAGAGTATTTCGAGAGGGAGAGCGGACTCTCCCCACTCTCGGCCGTACCAGGGCATTCAGGGGGCGAATAAACATATCTCTCTTTTAGTACCCTGGAAATCAGGAGAGGAATCAAGAACGTCTGAGTTTTCTCGTCCATCAATGTCATAAGAAACAAGTAACTAGCACATTCAAAGGCTAGTTAAATGGGTTACAGAGTGGTTTAACTTATAGGTTCTGTTTACTGCAAATTAGTCTCGTTTGAAGTACCATTAAAATCCATGTATCGCTGGACAACCTATTCGCCCTTGTGCGAGACTTTCCAGCAGTGAGTATTACGTAATCCCACCAAGGATCGAACCAAAAAAATTTAGTTCTCACGATGAACCCTTAACTAATAACAAACACTAGGTCGGTCTCCAGTGGCACTATACCAACTGCTAATAATCTGAAACGTCGTGCAACAACTGAATCACATTGGTGGCCAGTGTTTGGGTCCTGAAATCGATGAACACCTTCGTCAAGAATTCTCAGTCTTATATCCGTTGAATGTTCAGTGAATTTCAAATAAGCTGGTGTCCTGATAGGCAATGCTGTTGTGATAGGCGGTGTCCAATATCTGATACTGATACATGGTGTGCTACGCATTAAACCCTCTCCCCAGCTGACTATTTGAGTGAGGAAATTTACCCATTTCCTAGCCAATGAAACGCACTTGTCCTTTGGGCCACTTCTGGTTGCCACCGACTGACCTTCACACTGAGTTACTTCTGACTGGCTCTCCATATCAAACGCATTATTTCAATTCTCATTTATTTCGTACTCTATTCTAGGAATGAGATGATTTATAGACTGGTAAAACTTTTTTTAGCCAACTAATCTCCCTACTGACATTCATCAATTTGGGTGACTACATAAAACTTAATTTTGTTTCCGTGATTAAGCATCGTTCGACTACCCCATATTAATTCAGACAACCAAACACACATATTCCTCTGTCATAAAGGATAAACTGGAACTCTTAGATAATTTATTAATATATTATACTGGTTAGACTTCAAATTGGTTTTCATAGGAATCATTATTGAGTTGAGATATGTCAATATAATCAATAACTAGGGACTTAAGTTGATATGGTTGCAAACAAGTCACAGTGATGAGTACCAAATCACTCCGTATCTTTCTCAAAGTCTTTAATACCTTACAATCTTGAATCCTATTGATATAAATGCCAATACAGTTAATATTATTTTTCCAATTTGACCTTTTTCTCCCGATCGGTAGATCTGAAAAGAGACAACTTGAATTCGTAGATTTGTACCTAGTTATAAATTGTTTATATCCCCTTGAAGTCTACTGAGGGAGCCTAATTCACGCTGAAATTTTGAAATACGGCTTCTTCACCAGCAGATAGCCTGGATGTCAGTGAGAATGGTGAAATACGGACACAAATATCTTCATCCAAAGGATGTGAAACTGGAGAACCCTACTAATGAGTACTTAAGAAACAACACTGCATAACATAACAAACTAGGTGTTCTCTCTGGGATTTAAGTCTGGTATATAATTATTAACATACCCACGAAAATAGCCAATCAGTACAAACACCGTTGCATGAATACTAATCAAAACAACCTCTTGTTACCGAGCCTTTTTGCTAGGTGTATTACGTAATGTGTATTACCATAATAACGTTCCAAGTTTTAATACTAGTGTTAGCCATTAATAATGGGTAGATCACTTTACCCAACCTACCGCCGAAAACACGAAAGACGGTCATGCATATAATATATTATTATAACAATATTTATTTCAATCAAAAACAATTTACATAAGACCTAATGATAAAAAAAACTTTTAACAAAGACCAATAAACATTTCAAAAAGAATGAGCTAGGTAAACAATGAATGAAAACAGGGAAAACATTATTAGTTCCATTTGTATGCAAATAAACAAATATTTATAAAACATGTACGTAAAGTAAAAAAACCCAATAATAGTAACAAACGATAACAAAGTGAATAAATAACGTAGTATTACAAAATACACACACATACCAGTGAACAAGTAACCAAAAAAACCACTAAAAAACAAACGTGATAAACAAGAGAATATACCTAATAAAACAGATTCTTACTATTACTGAGTAGCCGAATGATGCTAATATATATATATATATATATATATATATATATATATATATATATATATATATATATATACCTTTTAAAACATATTCCATGAATGATCCTGGAGATCTAGAGAAAATGAGGATGAGATATGTGAATAATGATGAGGTGGAATTAATGAAATTACACGAAGAAATGGATGAAGTTGGAGGGAAACAGTCAGTTATTTAACTATTTCATAATCAGCATGATTATACATAAATGCAATTAAAGTTTACATTTCTCAAATTTAAAATATAACTAAAATAAGGAGATAAAAGTATGGGACACAAATTGAATGGCATTATTAGTGAACAAATAAGAATAAAAAATAACTCAGAAGAACTATTTGAAATATGGTTAAAAAAAGGTCATTGTATGCATGATAAGTATGCTGCACTTGTTAATAGTAATACCGCTACTACAGTTAGTAATAACAATAATAAAACTGGTTATTTGAGAAATTCCTTAGATCACGACCATATTATACTACATTCGGATAAGAATTGCTAACATGAGTGTGTATATGTATACATGTATATAGATATCGTTAGTAGAGAGGAAATAAATTTTACAAATCTATACGGTCCAAATAATTCACTTTATATATGTAGGTAGAAAAAAGTATAAAATTAGAGTTACCACTGATAGTATTGAATAATATTAGTAAACTTGTAATTGATAAGCATACAAATACACAATATGTAAATAAATAACATCCATGCTTTGCTAAAATGAATTAAATACCTAAACGTTTAGCAAGACGTTGTCTAACTGTTGTATTGCGTTTAGTTCGTGGTTTTTGTGTTTTTACTGTCATATGCGGACGCAATGTTGAAGAATCTATTGGGATAAAAGAGGGAAGAAAGGAAAGGAAAGCAACAAGAAAATTAGGACAAATAAATATGAAAAAAAGGAGTAAATAAACAAGACAATAGATTCTTGTTGCCATCTCTTAAAATTAAGACACAAAAAGAACAACGACTAAACGGACACATTCATGACTCAGTGGTAATTAAAAACCAATCAAATTAATTGTTTCAATTTACAGCATAATAGTAACAGAGGTATATATATATATATATATATATATATATATATATATATATATCCAATGAAATCCATGACATCTGTAACACTAGGAATTTTAAAGGTAGCTAAATGTCAGTATAAAGCGGCCTTAGTTTCTCTTTTAGAAAAATGTCCCGTTTTTATTTCAAAGAACAAAGGTTCCCAACTGACAACAACACAAAAATTTGTTACTATGATTACAACTCGTATAATTTTAAAAGATACCATTCAAAACTATGTAATAAATATTGTGTATCTTTAACTATGCTGACAATAATCTTTGTTCAAAGAGCACAAAAATAGACAGATTTACTGTCAGTTAAACTAAATAAATCAAATTATACTGGGTTGTTATTAGTCCTGCTACAATTCAGTAAACAATAACATATTTGTACACTAAAATGTTTGTTAACATTATGAATCTGGTTAAATCAAATTAGTTTAACCAGGAAATGAACTAATAACTACCGAGAGGAAGAAGTGAAAATTCACAGACTATAATTGGTTCATACTAACCTCTGGGTTTTAAAGCACTCGAGCCTGATGATGATGGATTCACTTCACTGAGTAGAGGGTGCTGTAGAAAATAAATGAAAAGTGAAGTGTTCCATAACAAAAAGTCATGCATTCCATGCACACGGAGACAGTTTGCACGACTGTATTGTTTTAATAAATAAAATTTTATAAAATACTCAAAGGAATATAAACATTTTAAAGAATAATCTATTGATATCAGAATAGGTCTTTGTGGATAGTATGGTAATTTCAATAGTTGAGATCATGAGTTAATTGAAGCTAGACCACCAAGGTAAGCCTGAAAGCACTGGCTGACCGTTTCGTCCTATTGTGAGACTTCTTAGCAGTGCGTATCCATGACCGCGCCTGGGTTCCAATCTCGCAAGGCGGGATCGCAGGTGCACACTACTGAGGAGTCCCACAATAGGACGAAACGGTCCAGTGCTTCCAGGTTTACTATGGTGGTCTAGTTTCAATTGACTCATGATCCCAACTATTGAAATAATTTATTAGTCGATAATCAATACAACCATTAACTTAGTAAATAATAAACATTAATGTATATAACCATATCATGCTACGATTAACCACAGTGAAGATAAGTAACTTGAGAAATAAAGTGTTCTTGATCAGACATACTATGTTAATTCAGATACCATTAGAAATTCACACGAGACTTCGGATTAAAAATACAAGAATATATTCTACAGAATAGTTTAGTTGTTCTTTCTTGTTCAAAACTTTTTGAAAAAGATATTTTTTTATTCCTAATGTTATGCAAACTATGATACTGATTATGAGATACGACCATTCTCTAAACGTAAAGGCCTAACCCATAAAAAGATAGAGCAATGAAGGGATGTGTAGTATCATGGTAGTGAAAAGAAAAAGCAGGCTCATAAGGAATTTGCTTCTTTAGGATCCTAGGGCGCATGTGTACTATTGAATTGAAGCTGGTGTTTTTCAACTCGTGCTCCTATTGAATAGTTCTCAAGTACACTTCTGATTTCTCTATAAGTATAAACGTATTTTTTACTGTTATCGCCTGTAGAGGTTTTGAAAAAATTCCTTCGTTATTTTTTATTTGTTGGGGACTGGGTTGACGGGTTTCTGGAGAATATAACAGGGGTTTCCTTGTGACTGTTCATGTGAATTGTGTAGCCACTCTAATGCATAAGAAACTGTAATAGACGATTCTTAACTGTTTAAACTTATTAGAATAAGCAGTTTGATAGTAGCCACGACAATAGAGGATTTAGTGATAAGTTCTCAAAAACAGGCTAAAACAAGTGAAGAATATTGAAAAAACATCAACAGTGAATAGGCTACATCTCGACAACATAACACGGAGTAACCGCCTGAATGTGGTCAGTTGTAATCATTGACTCATCATGTTCTAAAAAAGGGTGAAAAGGAATTGGGAAGAATAAAGAACTCTGAATGGGTTACCTCAAGTTGTCAAGTTCATCAAACTAAAAATACTAGTTAAGTGGGTCGAGTGTTAGATAACCTCAATACCTTGACTAGTTTAATAAATTTACAGCTTATATTGCTCTTGTCATAATTAGTGTTTATAAAACCAAACAATGATAACAACAGGAAATAGAGCTTGGATATTTACTAACAAATTAATTATTACATGATCTAGACTAGTTTAAATATGTCCCAACAGTATCATTTGTGGATAGGAAATCGCGTTGAATAGTCAAAAATTATATTAGGTAAACACTAGAAGCATTTACCAATGACTTCTTATCTCTTCTTAAATTAGAAACAACAAGTCTTGAACTCTTTGACTTCCATTCAGTTGTACCAAACCTGCGACGCGTAGGACCTGTAAAGTAAAATAATATAGAAAAAGATAAAAGTACGACTAGTTGCTGATGTTAAACTAGAAACATATTATTTTCAGAATAGACAAGACATTTTTTACAATTTAAAAGACTATTGAAAATAGGAGTAAGATGAATAGAATATGTGCTCATAACTATATTTCCGTTCCCATTGTGCTTGAAGACTGACTAAGTACTTACATGATAAGGGTAGATAGATGAGAATTTATTTCTACACCTATGTGAAAGGAATACTAAATACTGTTAGCTTTATGGAAAGATTCTTACTTTAAAGCCTGTAGGTCGAATGAGATTATATTAAAGCCCGATTAACTTGTACCACAACCAGATGTCATACTATATATATGCATAAATACATTACAGAAAATCTTTAAATGTAACAGGAAGAAAAACAACAACGTATATTCTGGTGATCGTAGATGCACTTAGCTATTGAGATACAGTAACTCAGTTTTTTGATAATATAAACCATAACATCTTCTGAGAACACTTAAACCTCTTGAGCGTTCTTCATAATACTTACAAAAACTGATGGAACTAAGCTAACAGTAATTTCAATGTTCAATTGGAGGATGTAAGTAAATGACAACTGAGTATATTAGGATATATTTTAAAAAATCCGACAATTAAAAAGCCTGATGAATTCTATCAACTGAAATAGTAGACTGGGAAGATTGCTAAATCAGTGAAAAGGTTTGGACTGTAAATTTAGTCAACACTGCATTGAAATGCCCAAACTAAAACAATATACATAGGCAAGCATAAACTGATGGTCAGGTACGTTAACTGACACACTTTAGGATCAGAAGGAGTGATTCACGAGTAATCACTCCCCTACTTTTACGAATAGATAGCCTTCTAATACTATTTAAGTGAACAATTAAGTTTTTAATCTTTTCTGATTTTCTTGTTTCGGAAAGAATTATGATAGTGATGGAAACTTATACTAATTAAAATTTATTAACCTTATTAGTAAATGTTGATGAGAGTAGCCAGTATGAATTAATTATAAATACAAGTTAACATATTAATGATGTAGTTCTAGACTGATAAATTCCTTTACTATAACGGTTAAAATTCATCAACAATACGCCTTAACTGCTAAAGCTATTATATACAGATAAGAGTGAAACGATAAGAACTTATGGAGTATGAACGGATTTTTTGGATTGATACATGTTTCCTTGTATTTGATTTCTACTGGGAAAATATCTTATATTAAGTACTCCAACAAAGCGAGAATGACGTAATTTGCTGTTTACATTTGTAAAGCGAAACAATTGCATGGTATATCAATTACGTCAAAATCAACTAGTGAATGCATGAGTTGTGGCAGATTTCAGGAAAAATACCAACCAACCTACTTGAATATAATTGAACATACAGAAATATTTTCTGTATATGAAAATAACTCGTTCCGCAAAGAAAATACACTAAGTTCTTGCGAAAAATTATGGCTTGTATGACTAAAAAGTATCTAGGATCAAAAACGAATGCTCATAAATAATCACAATTAGTATGCAGTAAAAATTACTTGAATGTTATGTTAATCCCTAAAATTAATGGAACTAAACAATCTCAATTGTATCAAGAATTTCAATTTGTAACATTTATATTATTTGAATGACAGCCAGTGATCAATGGTAGAACGTCCGCATCAGGAAATGAAGACAGATTTTTGAAAGTCGAAGATAAGTAATATTGCGCAATTTCAAACTAAAGGCGAATAGCGTTAAATGAAACAATTATATTTGAATGATCTCAGCAATCGAAATCTAGATCACTCTAACGCTCCATCTGGTACTCTGGTTTGAACTTCTTTAATTGGAATAGTCGAATTATTTAAATTTCAATCGATGAGATCATTTTAATACATAGAATGTCCTCTATACACTAGGAGCCCAATTTTTGTCAAACTATTTGCTCAAATACTGACAAATGTTCACACGGAGGCGAATAAATTACCCAGTGAAAATTTTTTAAATAGCAAAAACAAATATTCAACCTACTAGGCATACTCCAAGTTGGATCATCATCATTATTCTTAGTTTTTCTCTTCCTACTTGCTTGGTATGGAGTAGATATCCCCTTCTGTTTTTTTGTTAGCGAACATTCGGCTTTTGATTTCATCCTAACGTTGTCGCCATCATCACCTTCTGAGTCACTTAATGTCAAATAATCTGTTTAAAAAAATATTATTATGAGTAGACGGTGAAGAAAATATCATTTTACTCAAAGTTACATAGAAAGATTAGTTCCGAATTACAAACATGATGCTATTACAAGTCTCAATCATTCATAAAACCACCGGAAAATAGAGCGGAAGACTGAATATCTACTACAGTCAATTTAATTATCTGTTATAAACATTCACCTTTTATCCATCTTACTCCGAAAAAAATAAAATGAGAAGGCATCACTATTTGTAGTGTGAACGTTACACTTGAACTCATAAAACAGATTATGGAGATACTTTAATCCCACTCTTGCTAATTTAAACAACAGATACACCGAGTATCTCTCATAAATTTAGTTTTTATTAGCATAAAGAGTAGTTAAGGTCAAATAGTTTTATAAATAGATCAAAGAGTGTTTGATCCGTCTTGTTCCTTAATTTGTATTTGAATGATTTAAATTATCGATAAAATGTTTTCATATCTTAATTTTATAAATGTAATATGTGGCAAATTATATCAACACCATAATTAGGAATTATGATAAGTAACATTTAATAAGAAACTGACAACAAAAGCTTCTCTTACATGTAAAACAAATTTTGTATAACCTTCAGTTAAACTTTAGTAAATGAATAAACAGATATACTGTGGCGTGCTACTGATGTCGATAGATATAAGTAGTATGTATTATCAATAGAAAGTAATATGTCTGGCGGCAGAAGGTTAAGAAGATCAAAGAAAACAGAACGAGAACAAAGAATGATTAGTGTGGAAACGAAAGAACAATGAAGTGTGAGACGATTGATTGATATTTTGCAAATTAAGTATTTACTATATGGTTCTCAGATTTTACTAAGATGTTCTGTAATTTTGTGTTCAAATACATTCGATTGTCCTCATTCGTGTTCTCGTTCACTACAATACCATATTTTGTGAATAATAAATGGAGATACTACTTGACAGGTCAAATGTAAGTCGACAAGGAATTTATCATTGTAATACGATATTGAAATGTCAAATACTGAAACCCGGGAATTATAGTTTCATCATAGCCTACAAATTTATAAGTGATTAAACAATACCCATATGACTTGATCTTCCTGATTTAAGACAGAAGGTCTGAAACAGTACCTGGGGAACAATTCAGCAGCAACAAGACTTTATGTACAAGGTTGAAATCATATTTTCTTTCATTTCTGTACAAGTTAGAAACGTTTGAAATATGAAAACCACCTTCACATTTTGTCAACAATATTAGTTATATTGGTTTACGTTTTTATTTTCACCTTTTCTCGACTCAAGATGTTTAAAAATAAGATAACGAATGTAGAATACAGACAATTTTAATTAGCTATTTAGTTATCTAGTATTCTTTACCTTTTCATCACAGAATAAACACAATGATGGAAATAAGTTCGTCAGTGTTACTCATTATCCCTCTTTATGCTTAATTTTAACACTAAGGTCCCATTCGACTCAGTTAACTAAGAAACTTTGTGGCAATGTTTGCCATTGAGAGGTACACTAGTGAAGTACACTAACTTTGTGAAGGCTCTCTACCTGAACATTAATGATAATCCCAGAGCTTATGAATAACAATTATCAGTGTTTGTCAAGGTTGTTTACTACCCTACTTTTTATTTGGTTTCATCACAAATCTCTTCATTAAAAATCGCTCTTTCTTCATTTGACTTTTTAGGGATTGGTATGCATCCTGGAAACCAACTTAATAACATGGCGTGTACAGATGACATGGCCCTGTTTAGTGAAAATGTTGAAGAAATTAGAACTTTTTTGATCACCTTCAGTAACAAAGCACGTATATTAGGGATGTATTTCTCTCCCCCATTGTCTAGATTGGTTATAAGAAGTGAAGTAGTTGAGTGCGCTGACCACTCCACTTTTCTTGGAAATCTGATCAGCTCAAGTGAGTTGACAACTGACGAAATCCCGGCTAACATTTTCCAACTTGAGTCACTTGTCATTTAGGTGAGGTGTCCGTCTCCCAACTAAATAACGAATATGCTCCACATCAGTTTGATCTCTCCTACTCTGACTGTGAAACGTAGCCTAGGAAAGCATGAAATGTCCGTATGCTGAAAGTATTTGGTGATGGCTGTCTTCGAAGTAGCGCTTGTGTGTGCTGGGACAATCTAGTGGAAGATGTTGAGATTAAACAAAGAGTACTGGGTAAAGATGCTAAATTGGCTGATAAGTTAATAAATCTTTATCAACTGAAGTGATTGAGAAAAGTAATACGTATCAGTTGGGGAAGCTAGGTCGCCAGGAACCATTTGGTAAACGTCTCATTTTCACAATTTTATTTTGGGAATTTGAATTTCTCATTTTCGCGTCAAAATCACCTACTTTACCTGTATTTCCCACATTGCTTGCAAGCGTTACCCCTCGTGGAAGAGCATAGCCGCCCATCAGCATTCTCCATCCAACTCTGTCCTGGACAATCCTTTCCAGTTGCTATTCATTCTTTTCATGCGTGCTTCCAATTCCCAACGTAGTGTGTTCTTCGGCCTTCCTCTTTTCCGTTTCCTTTCAGGATTCGAAGTTAGGGCTTACCTCATGATGCAATTAATGGTTTCTGCAAGGTATGTTCTAACCACCCCCGACGTGTCTTCCTAATTTCCTCTTCAGCATTTCCCACATGGAAGGACCTTAAATGGTTCGTTTTCTCTTTTAGTAAGCTGTTTTGTGACGTTTTCCAAGAATACTTTTGTACTGTATATATGTGCATGAGTTGTGTGTTTGTTCGCTCGTGCTTCCGACTGCCCGGGTAATATGCATTTCATTCGACTGAATCTGGTCTTCCATCTCTAGTTAGCAGGGTAAGGGTACAGTGGAATAGCATAGCTTGTCCTGTTGAAGTATTGCTGACTTTCGTTCCGTTCGCATGTTTTAGGCGATATTGTAATCTCTCCAAACGTAGCAGTATCCCAAACTTCACCTGTCTCGTTGAACATCAATAGCTGGTGTAGAAGTAGGTTGGAGGACAGCTGGGAGAAGCCAAACTAAGACTTGGCATCAGTCCATGAAGTCATTGATTATTGGTCTAAGCAGTATTGGTAGGTTTAGACTGCCTGGCTGTTGTCAGAGTGATAACTATGATCCGTAGTAAAAGACATTGGGTGACATGGTTCAGAATTGATCCCAGTGAAGTAGATGGATCCACTTTTTATCTTCATTCAGGTGTTGAGTTCTAGTACTCATCCAGACATACCTTGCTGTCTTTTAGAACCATCTTCACTATTTAGTATATCTCATCATTTCTACTACATTATTTAGTCTCCTTGCTACATATCTTGTAAAATTTTCCTCGTTGTACTGTGGGATGACAAATTGGGGTAATGCACGTTTGTGGTGGGCTCTACATTAATTATGACTAACTGAAAACCAGGTAAAATTCCGAGGATAATCATTATATCAAAGACGATAAAACTGGTGATAGGAGATAACCAACGCAATCTATAAAAGAAATTTGGAATCTCTAATCCATCGGTTGTCTTTTTACTAATATAAATAATACGTAGCTGAAAATTAATCAGTTAATATCAGTTATACAATGAAAGAAAGAATAATATTAAGCATACATAAATAATCATTCATACATACAATGGTCTCCGATTAATCGACTTTTTTCCAAACCCGGTAGTGCTTCAAGGATATCTACATCATCAGTAATCACATGTTTTTCGTTCTCATTTCCTTTTATCAAGCTCTTTGGTTCACGTAAATTTTTGGAATAAGTTTGTCTATTTGGCATCCAGCCTAGACCTCCAATATGTCTATCTTTAAGTTCCCATTTAGTTTCCTTACCTAACTCACGGTTCAAACATTCTATACTTTTAGCATTTGAGCAGCTTTCAATTGCTCGTCCATTAGATCTACAACCGAAAACATGGGAGAGAAGTTATATGATATATTCAAATCTACAAATATGATAAAGTTAGGGAGTATCAGTCTGACGGAAACTTATCCAATTATTTAGAAGAGGAAAATTGCTAAGAAAAGTTTATGTTAATAGTGAGATTTCTGTTTGAATTGCAGATATATTATATGGTTAATCTTAAATGCGGTATTGAGGGATAATATCAATTATCTGAAGTAAATCTACTATGAAGCATGTAATTGATTTCAGTGGACTACAAAGAATATAAGTCAAATCACTTTGTTGGGCTTATTATTTTCATACTACCTGTATTAGAAAGTAGTACATTCTAGGATGAAAATAAAAAATGAATGATGGTTCTTGACTTTTTAAATTATGTGATTTGTAATGATTAATTTTTATAACCCTGAACTACTACTGTTATCTAAATTTTTAATTCAAACCGAAAGCTGGAGTTGTGAGATTTTGAGGCTTACCGGTAAACAATGTAATCATCACATAGAGAGGCCAATGAAATTAGAGAGATCTTAAATGTCCACCCAATTATTTCAATGAAAAAGTGGTGAAAATTTAAAGCGTAAACTGATTTGTGAAGCAGAAACTAAGGAGTAACAACTCACTTGGAATGCTTTGAAAATATTTCTGATTTGGAATAATCTGCTAAAAAACCTGAGTTTTTCGTTGAATGTGATAATATTGAATTTACGACCTCAGACAGTCTTTCAATGAGACTTGGACATAACATGTCTAACTGACTTTGATTCGGAAGAAAGTAATCTCTTTCTTCTGGTGGGAGCTTAAAATAAATGAAAACCGGGAAGATAAGATGATTCTCAATGAAAACGGTAAACTAAAGAAAAGTCAGGAAAACACGTACAAGTGAATGAACCAACACTTATATACTATCACCATACTGCTCTAAACAAATATGATAAATCACCTGGATAATAAATTTGTGCACTTTTTTAAACTGCTACAATTCACGACAGAACACAGTAAGGGAAATAAGAGGGTAAAAAAATACACAAAACTTTGTTCAAAACAATGAAGTAGAAGAAAAATTATAGGGTATTGATAAGTCCGAGATCCAGAAAAGTAGATAACGGATCCATTTAAACTTCCCAATCATAAGTTATGGTCAACCTATGAACACCAACAATGAAGTATGCAGTCACTGATACGACTGGAAAACTGAATGTCCTTATTTATACAACAATTGGTGCTTAAACTGGCGATTTCTTGAGAAAAAACACCGATAATTACAAATCTGCAGTTTTGACACAAAATAGTTTTATCATAACAAGTGTCAACAGTTGTATTTCCAACTTTGTATTTAACAGTCCATAACCGTTTCAATAAATATTTATTTGTGAAGACCACAGTTTCTCGGGTGAGACAATGTGATTTCAAAAGCAGTATCAAAATTCGACACTTACTACCATTTAAATGGAAAGTTGTTTAGACCTCTTAAGGGATGACTCTTTCAACGGAAGGGAAAATTGTCACATAACTAAAATAAATTAAGTTTAAACGATTTCAGATAACTATGTATTAAGAAAACCCTGATTATATCTCCAAGAAGTTAGAGAAGACACGAGGGTAGAATATAATACCTAAGAATTTTGTTATATCCTAGCGAGGATTAAATTACGAGTAACTTCTGAGACCTATTAATGGACTAATATTATTTATATATTCTTATGGTATAACTATTCAGTAACTAAATTGTATGTATCTATATTCCCGTTATTATAAGCTTCATTTTGACCTATAGATTATTATCGTACAATTTACTGGTCTTATGTTATACTCAGTTTATTAATTACTGTCTCCCACGCTCACAGCCACCTTTGGCTATATTGTGTACGAGAGTTATTTTATATTTTATGATGCGTTGCGGTCTATTTGGTTGATATGTAAACCTAGTATGTGTGAAATAAGTGATTCGCATAGTGGAGGCTGTTATTAGCATTCTGGACTCAGCTGGACGGGCAACGGGCCAATAGGACGCCAGGCTGATCATACCAGTCGGACGTCATTAGTTTAGTACAGTATACGAGCAAATAAGTCGTATTTTTATTGGCGAACAGATTACGTGATAACCAGCAGGCCATAAAGTCACAACAAATTTCCTACTATTGGTTGATATGCGTTGATTAGAACATTAGCAAATCAACTAGCTGCACAGATGTTTATATATTTTCCTTGACAAAATTTCTCCATTATGTACTAACAACTAGCAGTGTAACCTAGAAACGAGAGATCTTAGATGAGATTCAGTAAAGCGCAGGTACGTGCAGCTGAGCACTTACGTATATAAATAGACGTAAACTCCGTAATTTATTAGACACTACTAAGTAATACAAAACTTATGAATGGTGAAGCCAGATGACTGAAGAAATACTTGAGATTAATAACTTGGAATGAGGCATTCAGCAAATATAAACAGACTCAACGATATACGGTGGAAAGTTGTTTCTAAGCGAGTTCCAATAGAATTTACATCATAAGACATTATTGGTATAAATATGACCCAATAATATAGAAATTCGAATCTGAACACCTGAACCACAAGTGCAACGCACTACTTCTGTCCCATAAATGGTCCGCTTTCGGAGTTGTTGACATCGTTCAAAAACTGTGCGGTTATATTCTTCCATTATCAATTTTGAAGACCTAATTGGATTTTCCAAGTACCCAATTAACTTCTGAATGAAATCCTACATTGATTGTGGGAACACAGGTTAGAAATTACACCGCATTACACAACTATACATCGAGTTTTATAAGTGGTGAAAAACTTAGACTTTCTATTATAATTAAGATTTCAAGCCTTTCATGATGATCATTCGGTGATATTTAACAATCCAAAATTATGGAGAATAAATAAAAAAGAGCAGTAACATCATCTAAAATGAGGAATGTAGTTTGTTATAAAACATTCAGTTACCATATGTCTTTTAGAATACCACAAAGGAAGAACTTTAGCCAAGCATTCAGCCGCCTCTACGTCGAAAATAACGGGATTTTCGCCATCAGTTAAGTTGTCTACAATAATAGTGAAAATTTTAAAAGTTTCGTGTTGTTAGAGAGTATGAAATATGTGGCACAATAATCGAATAAACTATATCGCTGAAATATATTGACTGAGATACTTACTAGTTAGTCTGTCCAGCAGACATTGGCTATAAAACCAGTGAACCTTCTCAAAATTAGGGAACAGAAATTTCATTGGAGTTTTACATTTTTGTTCCATGCGATAAATTCTACAGTAATAACAACACAAACTAAGCTAAAGAATTAGAATAAAAGGTTATTTAGTAACCAAATAATATTAGAACCAAGTGTATATGATAGGCCACTCGTAATCTATCTACGTCCTTCAGACTATTTCTTTCCAATTCTCAATAACTGTTCGTTTCAACCAACATTTCCCAGTTTCAATAATTTTCATTTCTAACTAGTTTTCATGACTCGTTACAACAGTGCTTCAAATCTGTTTGACTTTTAATGCTTACAACTTAAATCAAATGAAACAGTAAGCTCTGCTAGCCAAACTCTAGCATGGTTGGTTGTAAATTAATTGTGTTACCACAATCTATACGTCATGGAGGTAAGACAATTTCCATGGCTTAACCCGCAGAATACAGTGGCTGTCTAAAGTCAGGCAAAAACGTAGAACTTCGTACTTACGTACATCAGTTCGAGTTGCCATACCACATTAGCACAGAAATACAATTGTCAATTCAAATCCCGTAGTGGTAAAGGTAGTAAGAGTATAAGCAGTAATCGGAAAGATTAGGGTTTGAAGATGTCATTCAAAGAGTATAGTCCAGTGAAAGAAATTTGGGAAGAGGGAAAAAGGGACATGAAGAATTCAGAAAATTAGAATTTGGGAGAACACAAAGAGTGGATGCACCTGCGCCATTGCAAACGATTTTGAGCCATGTCATTCAAGGTCTCTAACTATCGGTTGCTATCGTCTCGCGGATCCCAACCAGGTAGTCTACACCTACCAACATGGCTCAGTTCACTTGTCAGCAACTTCATGGATTTGTGCCATGTTTTGGTTTGGCCGCGTCTAGTTTTCTTCCATCCCACTGTAGTGACTCACGTTTATCACGAGAACACGACTGGTTTAATAAAAACAATTATTATTATAACCAAGTGTACCAGTGACTGTTTTAACGTGCTTTTGTTTGACTGTGCTAATGACAGCTATTTTGTTCTTCCATTCTCTTACTTACACTTTGATTGTAACTTCGCGCGAATTCGGTTACGTTCTGTAACCAAGCTTGTATCCTGGCACGATCTCGGTATCCTTTCGATGCCACGAGATCGCCAGCAAATAAACATCGACTTGGTCCATTAATTGCCTTCTGATATTTGGCTTCTCAGGGATTTTATGGAGTCATTTGGAACGAGCTTCTTACGCCTTCTGATCTATTTGGCACGTATATCTTGGTAGCGGTGTTCATAGTTAATCTCAACTCGACGCCACGCTACAATTGGTAATCCCAATACGAATACAATTGGTAATCCCAATTCGACAACAATTGGTGACCCGTATTTTGGAACACGCCTCAACTTCTGACCGAATCTTCCAAAGAAGCCAATTCGGTGAGTCTATGATTTATCTATCCACGTCTGTCGTATATTTTCATATTTTTTAATATATAATATACGCGACATGACGGATAACGATAAGAATAGTATTAATATAATAGACTCACACGTATGTGTATCGAATCCTTGTCACTTTTTATTCGCGTGATGATGAATTCCACGCTTTATTCGAGAAATGTTACCCTATTAACGATTCTCCTCGCTGACCCGGCTGCTTGGTACGGAATGCATACGCATAAGCATATCCGTCTACCACCCAGCACCAAATGGTTAAGTTGAACGGTTTCACTGCCAACTTAAAAGTGTCCTACGAGCACACGAAAACGGCAATTGGCACGAAACCTTACCGCTCGTTCTTTTAGGGGGGGGAGAACGAGCTTAAAGGCAGATATCCAATGTTCCGCCACTGAACTTGTATACGACACATCTGCCCGGAGAATCCTTCACACCACGGAGCAGACCTAATTTCGGTAAATCAGACAACGTCCGTCGACTGTCTGCATTTATGTGAACGCTGTCTCCGGTGTCAACTCGAATACAACATCGACAGGTCGCTCTCCCTCGAGAGTTATCTACCTGTTCACATGTTTTTGTACGAGTAGATTCGGTACGCAAACCTTGGCAACAACCTTACGAAGGCCCTTTTCACGTGATCGCTCGTCACGAAAAGACCTTCAAGGTTGATCGACATGGACGCGTCGAGATCGTCAGCGTTGATCGTCTCAAACCAGCACACGTCGATGACAGTGCCCTATCTGATAACCTGAGATTCAATGCTAGACCTATTAAACCTAGCGGGATACTTAAATCTTCAGGTCCCACGCTAGATGCATCTGAGACCTCATTCTCACGTCCCGGTCAACAGCACGCGTCATCTGCACCGTCTACGGACGAGACGATAGTCTCACGTCCAGATCAGCAGACCACGCCGCCTCTGACCTCGGATGAGATTGCAGGCTCACGCGACGCGAACGAGACTGCCGTCTCACGTTCCGGTCGCCGAGTACGGTTACCCGTACGCTTCCGCGAATAGTCGCACAGTCAGCTACCGATACGGTGTAGGATTATTCCTATACTACACGTATGCTACACTCTTCTTTTTTGATTTTCTTTTTGTTTCCTGAGCCCACGCCTTCGACCATCTCCGTTTGGTTCCGTCGACTTCAGTCAACTTTGGCGAAAGCTGGCCTGATCACCCATGCTCTTGTCAACGTACTCAGTCGATATATTGGTTTCGAATGCTTGGCATACGCTTGGTCTCGAACTTGGTCGTTACGGTCGCTTCTGGTCTTTTGGCTCAACGTGGTTTCGTCCTTCGTCTGCAGCGTTTATGGTCCGGACCCGTACGAACGCCCTCTTCAGATTCTGGATACAAACCACTCTGGTAGCATGCCGACTCAAGCAACAAATACAGCACATCGCACCTGGTACCGTTCTCCGAAAACGACCTTCGTTGGCAACTCGACGATCAACGATCGCTTTCCTGTTCGCCAATCTTTCCGTCCTACAATCGCTCGTCAGCCGATCAGTCCCACGATTCAAACCGCTATTTATCGAAAGTGTAAACCCTTTCTAGCGGGGGGCTCCTGTAGTGACTCACGTTTATCACGAGAACACGACTGGTTTAATAAAAACAATTATTATTATAACCAAGTGTACCAGTGACTGTTTTAACGTGCTTTTGTTTGACTGTGCTAATGACAGCTATTTTGTTCTTCCATTCTCTTACTTACACTTTGATTGTAACTTCGCGCGAATTCGGTTACGTTCTGTAACCAAGCTTGTATCCTGGCACGATCTCGGTATCCTTTCGATGCCACGAGATCGCCAGCAAATAAACATCGACTTGGTCCATTAATTGCCTTCTGATATTTGGCTTCTCAGGGATTTTATGGAGTCATTTGGAACGAGCTTCTTACGCCTTCTGATCTATTTGGCACGTATATCTTGGTAGCGGTGTTCATAGTTAATCTCAACTCGACGCCACGCTACAATTGGTAATCCCAATACGAATACAATTGGTAATCCCAATTCGACTACACCACTTCTACACCATGAAACATGGCACGTCGGGGTAGTCGATGGTTAGGCATACGTAACACGTGTCCCAGCCATCCCAACTGATGAAGTTTCACTGCCTCATCAATTGCTTTGCCATCATTACCTAGTACCTGTTTCCTAACAACTGAATTACTTACTCAGTGGTCCCAGGATATACGATCAATGCTTTGAAGACATCTGTGAACGAATACTAGTAACCTACGAATATCTTCTACTCTTATCGGCCATATTTCGCAGCCATAAAGTAGAACGGGACGAACTGCTGTGCAGTAAACCCATCCTTTGGTTGTTAGACGGATATCTCACCTACGTCATAAATGACGCAAGCTAGTTGAGCCCTCTATATCTGTGCTGAGATTTCGTCACACACCAAACCACAAGGGCTGATGAGACCTCCAAGATACGTGAAGAGATCGACACGCTCAACTACTTCACTCCCTATCATTAGTTCGGGAGTCGATGCCACCCAATCCTGAAGCAACATTTTGCATTTTGAGGGGGAGAATCGCATGCCGAACATGCGTGCTTTGTTCCTTAGAGTGGTCAGAAGATTGTATTTTGTCAGCGTCATCACCAAATAGAACTATGTCATCGGCTGTCAGTGACTGTCTACAACTAAATGTACCACATAAAATCTCAACCCGTAAATACAGACTTATGTTTTCAGTGAAGCAACAAAATGACTAGGTGCTCATCTCAAAGATGAATATCACGCAACGGTTTTTAGTATGATATTTGTCTAGACAATTCAATAAGCGCTTGAAAAAATGCTTTGATTAACATGTCGTTCAGATCTCTTGTAAAGTAGTTGGAACTCAAATATGACGAACAAGCCCCGCTAAAATCGACCAAACTTACTAAGAATCAAGACATAATATGATGCGACCACGAGTTGGGCAGAGCAGCAAAATGATTAAGTAATTCGTCGAAAAGTCGGGATGATTGCTGTTACTCACCTCTTGTCATTAACAGTTTTTGAACAGTATAAAATCTAGCCACAGGACAAAACGGTTTTTCACTATGGCTGGTTAATATCCATCGCATACAAGAAACTAGGATATTGCTATGAAGTTGGATAAACTGAAAACTAACCTTACCTTACCTTACTAAATCGGCGAGACAAAATAGTGTTGTTCTTGTTAAACCTAACTCTGTATATCCACATATATGGAAAGTTGAGACATTGGGTAGCTATGATATATTTCAAAGATTAGTAAACCAATCATTTAAAGGAAAATCGAACACAGGGATTACATTTATCTTGGACTTAAATAGAGTTAGTCTCTGTCAAAAAACAAAAATGATTCTGAATTTTTATTGAGACCTGACCTCGGCTACACTGAATCGATACAGGGAGCTGCGAAATACTTTGCTGACACCGTGATTTAGATCACTGTAGTCAAATGTGTACTTGTTTCATGAATAGCGTGTAAAAACAAGTCAAAATTTTCCATAACTCACGAAGTTTATAAATCCCCAGAAAATGTTAACTAATTGACTTTATAAACTCGTTATTTTTATAATAAAATCCTAACAGAACCATACATTAGGCAGTGCCATATGAGGTGGGACAATTGTCTAGCACGTATAATCCTAATTTTTTGCGCAGAATCCCAGACAATATATCGGTATGGATATCCAGCATTGGGACCGTACAATAATCAATGCTGACCAATAACAAGTTTAGAACTACGTCACTAAACCCCATTTTATTATTCTAAAACCGAAGTGAATAGTTAACGTCCTAAAATATAACCATCTGAACTTTTATGAAACAATAATTAATCACAGTTAAAATATGAAGCAAGTAATAAGATCATTTAAATATATTTCAGTAACCTACCTGAGCTGCATAGATACATGCAATCCACTCAGGAAATTTCCTCCAAAAACTAGACAGTCAGAAGGCGTGTAAACAGCGTGGATCCAACCAGATGGCAAGAAGATTGTTTGGCCGGGTAAAATGTGAAGGCAGTAAACTGTGGGTCTATTTACGTTACTAGTCGATTCTAGAAAAGTAATTCGGAGCTATGTTCCACAATGCACAGACGAATGCTTACCTTTCTCCCGAAGACTAGCAACAAAGTCCGGGAAGAATGTCGCCCTATGATCGCTGCTCATACACCATCGCCAATAAGCAGAAACGAATTCGGGTGTAGGCGGCATCAAGTAAAACACTTTTTCACCCTATGCTCATAGACCTCACTCTGAATAGAAAAACCTACCCACATAACATGGTACCAGACAGATGATCCACCGAAATCTATATGGAAGTCAGTATAACTGCCTTTCATACTTAAAAGACAGTATTTCTGGACAGTTGGTGCAGTTTCGCCGATAAATTCGACATCTTTAAGGTCGTTAGGGTCATCTTCCGGCCAACAGGTTGTGACAAGACTAAGTTCCGAAACGACATGCGGAGGATGTACAAACTTTGCCAGGCTACTTTTAATGTAAAGACAACATATGTTACTTGGTTCTTGAAAACTCCAGACTCAGCATGTTTAACAATACCTGTCGACGAGGTGAGGAAAAGTGGTCAACCAGTTCTTGGAGCGTCATTTGTATCTCGACTTGCTGACGAACATCGATGACATCAACCTGGATACTAGGATCTAAAACCGATAACTTTTATGGACTTCCAGTACCTATAAACCTGGTTAAATCTGTATGAGAGAATGAGTCTAGCGGGACCTTAATTCTTAGACCGTCTTTTGATCGTACCAAAACGGGTTTTGCGAAACCATTCTCTTTAAAACTATGTCCGCTAACATCACAACCATTCATAATAAGTACCTGATCATCAGCACTATTACTACATATTAAGATGGGAAACTAAGTACCTTGGAAATTCCCGAGCTAGCAGCATATCGACGAACTCCTTCGACCCTGAAAGAGCCATTAGAAGGTTGAGGAAATGAACTAGAAATCCTAAGCGAGGTGAAGTCGCGCCGACATTAATTTATTGGGTGCAGCGCTAATACCATAATACGCGCAACAATACATATCGATGGAATAATGAGTATTGCAACCTATTTCGAAAAACCTTTTTCCCATATAAGGAATTATATCAAAGAAAATAGAACAACATTGTTTTTCTCATTTTATTCGTAATAGACAGAATGAAAATCTACGCAACTTGATAAAATCATTCTTTAGTAATCGAAGCGATTTAACAAAGGCTCATTGTGAACAAAAATGTACCATTCACACTAGCAAACAGTTATTAACTTAATCGAAATTTATTTTTCTAGTTATTGGATGCTTTCGGGAGCTGATGTCAATTAGTCCGTTAATGAAGAGAGGTGTCTAATAACATGTCGATTTAATCATTTTTATGGCTGAAGTAAATATCATACATTCACCTTTTGTAAGACATCATATGTGTGATTGTATTTGCGCCCGAAGTCTCCTTTATTCGTACTAGTTTTGACTAACTTATACTCGTAATTACTTGATACATCCTTAACTTTTGTGGTTTAAATTAAAAACACTGTCTACGTAATTCCGCTTTTTGCTCCATTGACCTTCGACTGAAGAGTGTATTAAGTCTGTAACACCCTTTATAGACCGCCTTCCACTGGCTGGGACTATTCGTCTAGATTATTGCTTAGAAACGCCACAGGGAGATATTTAATAAATGAGCGAACTGAACTATTGTCAGCTACCCTAATAAGAATCTTGAATTGACGTTCTATAGGTTACCAGTTTAAGCGTCTTATACTGATGGTCGGGGCCTAGTGGAGTCGGACGGGGAATAGTGGGACCTCTAAGTTTGCAATGAGGTCACACCTCGTGGTTACTACCCACCGTAGATTACCCTCACTCGTTATATACTAATACTGTGGCTACTCTGATAACATCGCGTAATATTAAACTACCACTTCTAACATAAAATCTTAATACGATAATTTTTTCGCAAGTTCTATTTGTAATGCACATAACACCGTTTACTCTTTTATTAACATATTAAATTATTTACACACATTTTTTAACGTCAGCTTAATATTTTTCTCGTGTATAGTTGCGAGTGTGATGAACACCAAAATAATTTTTTCACAATACTTGTGTAGGGCCAGCAAAATGTCACTAAACCCTAGCCAAATCATCCGGCAGTTGGGTCACTGAATATCGAGCAAATCATCTATCCTCGTCAAGGTCAGGGACAACCAACGCGCGTCAGTTAATCGTATATCATGGACTGACCCGTGCGGCAGTGGTCTTACTTTCGATAGTAACTACTTTAACTAATATATTTCTGTAATAACATCCTCTGTGTTGTACAGTCTTCAAAGTATCTATGGTACCTTGATACGTCGATGGGGTAGTCCACGTAGGGTGCTGACCATGAGGTGTGACTTCGACATTAGCTAGTTTGTCACATCATTCACGTCTAACTCGAGTAGGCCTCCAATCATTTCGACATCTACGATGGCGATCTACACTGGTGATTTGCTCGATATTCAATGACCCAACTGCCGGATGATTTGGCTAGGGCTTAGTGACATTTCGCTGGCTCTACACTTGTGTATGATCAAGTTTGTGAGTATTAATAACAATATTAAAGTATGGTCTCTATCCTTTTATATCTTCTCTATTAGACTTATCACTCAGCCGCATTAAGATTAGTGAATATGGCATTTTATTCCAAGAAAGCATTTCTTGCGTATTTATCAGTGAGTATGTTGTAGGTCATAAAAGGTTGCTAGGACCAGCATTTATCACACGGAATTCGACTAGTGAGTTTCGAGAAAGATAAACAGATATGATAAGAAACAAGGCCTTAAAATAAAAAAACTATGTAGTATAGTAGCACCATTCCACGCATTGCTCAACATAGTAAATATTGCACGATGTAACTGTTTGAATCTGCCATGAAACGTCAAGAACATTTTATTTTGTCCACTTAATAGTTTATCTGTATGCTTCACACAAACTCGTATCCTGCTGGCAAGTATAAAATATACTTCATGATCGTACCATATCTTGGCCTTCTGTTACTCGTTTTGCTCCAGGACTTTAATAAACAAGAGGAAATCGCTATTATATTAAATTCTGTATAGTTTCTAGCTTTCTTGCAAACACCCGTCCTTTCCCACAGATAATCCAAAAAACAATGTTTCGAAAGGGTGTGGTACCGATCATCAATATTACGATTATAAACTATATTGAATATTTAGACAAACAACATCACCAGGCCATACAGCTAAAAGAGCTGTTCGACAAAAGGCAGTAGGACCAAAACCTAAAAACACAAATTAAATAATTTTCCGAAAAACTGAGATCTTTTATTTTTTTAAAGAAGAAATAAAACCCTAAGAAACAGAGGATGTAGTTTTGTTGGCTGAGAACCGAACAATCTGGTCATTCAGAAAATTTCATGTGAGCGTAGTACATGAAAAAAATACAGTAGTTAAATATTTACGGGCTATGAGAAAATTCCCTTTCGGAACAAGAGTATACCACTCAAAATAAGCCACTGGTGGTTACACAGCTTACCCCTGGGAAGGATTTCAAACACCAAAATCATTCAAAACTCCTTCTTATATCCCTCACCAACACTGCTGATGTAATCGATGTTCTGCTGACCAGTCGCTTGCTGAATTCACAGGAGGACGTAAGAATACTATAAAATATACCGTGTTCTGAGCTCAATCTCATTAGAAAATCCCTTAGTGAATCTCGAGAGAAATACCATTGTGCAAGATGTCTCAGGAAACACGGATCCTGAATATGTAGACTACAATATTCCAGAGTGGAATTTCGTCAGACAGTCTTTCAAGTGCAAGAATGTATTGATTCAACGAGTAGTGCAGCTTACCATGAATAACGGGGGCTCTAGATCCCGGGTAACGAACGTGACATTTCCAACCTTCCAAATGGTTGCTGCCACTCTCGAAGTATACTTTGTCAACAGACGTCGGCTTCCAACTGGACTCTACATTCATCCGGACAGACCATACGATGCAGGGACCAAACAGGAAAACATACTGGAACTGACTATCCCAATTGTAAACTGTTCAGAGCATGGAAAGTACGACGAATAGACAGAGGCTACCAACTCGGAAGACCCTGTGTGGGTAGGTTATAAATCCATCCACCCAAGCTCATTCATTAAAACTAGACGGAGAAGCGCACGCGTTTCAAACAAAAAGCAATCAGTGCCAATGTCAAGTGTACCTTAAGAATTTATCAGTCACGATGAATCTGCGTAACGCTCAGTGCGTTTGTCGAACACCTCGAGAAGTCTGGTTGGAGTCATTTGCAGGAAACCCACTGCTAACACCGTGTAATACAAACGTGTGCTGGAGGGACTATCCCGTCCAACCCGTCTCCAATACACTCATATCCAATTTTTAGGGGACTTCAATCTTCTTAAAATTAACATATGTGGCCACACGTACATTGGCAATGACAACCTTGTAGAACTATGGTCTACTATGATATTAGTACTGCTCTAATAATAGACCTAATCCTAAATTTGTAGATTTGTCATGATATAACTGCCTAATCTATAAGATCTTACGTGGAAGTCACACCATCGATTACACCAACTCACTGTGTCGTATCAATTACCAATACATGATGTAGAACAAGGTTAGGCTAGAGAAAGAACAATATATTTAATATGAATAGAAGATATAAAGTAACATTGAGATGGACCACGCCTGCATGGTAGAGCCATGCCACTCGATCAACTCCAGTACATTCAATTCCTTGTTCGCGCCTTCTCCATTGTTAGGTATTTCTCCGTGTTAAATATTGAATATCTATTTTCTGAGTAGTGTTGTGTTCAGCTTTGAAGATTGTGTGGTTATGGTCCAATACCACTACACTACTCTCCCACCAGAATCAATGTGATGTTGGTTCGATACCAAATTGGATGGGATCGTCGCGCACCGGAGGTTACCAAGGATAATAAGAATCCTCCGGGTATTGGTAAGCTGAAAGATAAATCAAAAAGAAAGCGGTAGCATCTGGTCGGGAAATACATGTAATAATTTTAAAATATCTGCCTTCATGCTTAAAACGCTTGAAATGAAAATTTGGGTGAAGATTATTTGAGCTATAAAAAATGGGGTTACAATAATAATAATAATAAAACGATGCGTGTTAATAACTTAACTTATAGGTAGTAATTATTTTGTGTTTAGAAATATTAAAGTAATGAATTGTAGAAATGTTAATATCGGTATTAGTTTTGGTTTAAATTATGAAACCAATTAACAAATATGCCGGTAACCCGTCCATATGTGATTTCCAATTGCATCTGTATTCGTAGGCTAACTGGGAGAACAAAAGTATTACCATGGAAAAGAATTCCAACTACTGTTCCAGTTAGTTTGATACGGTTTATTTAGTTACGGGGAGATTTTCTCAACCTCATTTTTACTTGACCGTGATGGAATTTAGTAATACTACTAATACACATGAATGTTCATTAAAACAAAATTTAAATACGTGAGTGATGATTATATGAATTTTGGACAGATAGGTAGGAACAAATCGTTAAACATGAGTGTATTCGTAAGAGACATGCTCTAGACTCAATGTTCTGATCTGCGGCAGACTATTTATTTATATTTATACTTGCCGGCTGATTGGGCATACAAGTTAGTTGCAAGTATACAGTTTATCATAAGGCGGAATACGATTTAATTGAGATATAGTGGTTATAAGTTATTAAAATCAGTTAGGCCTGTGTCATATTACGAAGTGATGTGGTGCTGCAAGATGTATTTGGCAAAATAAGTTTTTACAAGATGATTAATAGTAAGTGATGCTCATGTGATTATCAGGGAGAACATAAGTTGTAACCAGGGGGAGTACACTCCCAACTCATGTCTATGATAATGGCTTGAACCTTAGTCAGTGTTGGGGTAAATTCGACATTGATGTTTTCAGTTTACAGGAGGTTTGCTCGACTGCTTATACTGATTATTTGCATGCATGATTGTGTCGCTAAACCATCAATTAGACTGACAAGGTTTCGAG